AAAACAGTTTTGATTTTGTATACTATATAAAACATATTACTTTTTATTAAATAATACCATAAACTGGGCCGATAGAATAGAAGCAAGTACTTACCTTTGTTCAAAATATCACTGATTATAATAGTAATACATGGATCTAACGGTGATGCATGTAAACAATAGTTCCGAAAACTTCTAAAAAAAGATTCTTGCATGATCAAATTCCATTACTCAATTCTTTCCTAATGAAATAAAGATGAAAAATAGGTATGTTTACTATATTGAAAGTTCTTAGTTGAACCTATTATAATTTTTCCACAAGCAAAATGACAGTAAACATACTTATATGCTGCATAGAACATTTTTCTGTTCACGTTATTTTGTGCAGATAATTCCCGAACTAAAGGTCTTCTAGCGAAATTCTCCAAAACCCGTGAAATATCATCCTTGTTCAAATCGGCAGCAACATCCTGGAATGATTACTGTGAATGACCTCTAATTAGATTTCTAAAAAATCATTTTTACACCAATTATAAAGAAAATATCCTATTTTCAACAAATCAATCATTAGTCCAATTCTTCTGAATATGGTAAAAAAAAAAGCTGATTAAGGATAAAGAAGGTCAGAGCTAGAATTTCTTGTAAATAATCCAGTAATACCGCTTCATCTCTTGGCAAATTCGGAATAATTATCGGAGCAGGCGGTACGATATCGATAAAACTTCGTAACTTGGCTTTTCGTGCCGTGACCATTTTAGCTGCGAACTTCGTCTCTATCGGTGAATATTTTGTTTGTTTCAAAACAGTCGGGGTGCATTTCTTTCCACTTTGCACTAATTCCGGGCCTACCTTCTGGCCTCTGGAGAGAACTGATTTTGATTGCTCTGTCCCAGATTTTCCATTACAATCAGTCAACTGAAATATTGAAAAAAAAGATGCAGAACCCTAAAAAGAGAAAAAATGGGTGAGTATCACCAGCTTAATAAAAATTAAAACAGTTCCAATAGTATGCCCTCGACGTAAGGAGCAAAAGAAAATGAATATTAAGAATTATTTACAAAATTTATAACAGTATAATTCGATATTAATAAGTAATTGATGAAAGAATTCATAAGCAAAGATAAAAAAGAATACGGCGTAACAAAAAGAATAAAAGAATACTAACAGGACTCTTCCTCGGTGCAACAGAACTATGGGAACGTTGAAGAAGACGTGTCTGAATGAAGGATGGTCCTTGATCGGCACTGTTTGCCATAATGAGTATCCATGGCGGACGGCATTTTACCATTTGTAACGCCATCTGTGTGAATAACTGCCTTAGAAGCCGTCGATTCAAGCAGCCTGAAATAGTTACTTCCGTGAATATTTGTACTCAAGAAAAACTTGAATATTAATGTACTTTGCAATCTTAATCATTCGCATCATTGCTATCTGTGAACATCTAATGATTTCCTACCATCATCATTTCTGCCTGTATTTCTAAAACGTCTCTTAATGATCCCATTCTCCAGGATAATTACATAAACGGCTATGAGTGAAATACTTGAACCCACAACCGAAATATCTGAACCCACAAACCGAAATACCCGAATCCACAAACCGAAATACCTGAACCCACCCCGCCCCTACAAACTGCGGTTCTTCCGTTGATATGACCGTCGCATATTCGTTGCATGCTAAAAATCGTGATGCAGAAGAGGGAAGCAATCATATTTCTCGTAATTGGACATTTCAAATTAGCGGCGCAATTGGCCTATGAATTCTGATATTTGCTTCTTCATGTACAATTGCACTGCAAACAGTAATGATATTAGTATACAGTAATATTATGAAATATAATAAAATGGTGTAACAAAATTAATCGTTGTCGAAAACGTTTTTGATATTATGAGAGGAAGTATGATCGAAATGATTTAAAAAGACATGTTTGAATTAGCCATTTAGCATTACTGTTCTCGTCTGATGCAGTATTCATGCGTTAGGACTTGAATTCATTTTTCTCATGGAATTTTTCTTTGACGTTAAATTGATTTTTATCAATTGATCTGTTTAGTAGGAAATCTTTTCATTATATTGAACAAATTGCTATGTTATCACGCCAAGTTCCTGAATTATTCTCGTGATACTTTTATGTTTTTTCCCATCGTATTTCAAATAATTTATATAAAATTTTAATTATCAATGAATCAAGTCAAGACTCACTTTGCAGAGAGCACAAGTGACAAGGAATCATTAATGAAGTATTTTGAAGGAGCATATTGCAAAAAAATCATTATTACAAGCAGAATACATATTTATTTATAAATGCAAATTCAGATCATTGAGTAATGGTAGTGATAAAATATGAATTCCATATCACTTTGCATGTAATAATGATTTTGCAATATTTAATCTCTCTTATTGTAAAACACCTTATCGATTTCTTTTTTCAATTTTGGAAAGTCTTTTTAATTTTTCTTCTTATTTATTAATTTAAATTATTTTTGAACAATTTTGAAAATTCACAAGTGCGATGGGTATTTCATTGCGATTTAATCGGTCACAACAAATAAATTTTTATTGTATTTAATTAAGAGAAAGAAAAGCGAAGCAGTAAAGTTTATTGCTATTATAGAAAAAGCAGAATACATATTTATTTGTAAATGCAAAGGAACTGAAGCTGATTAGACTGCTCGATTGATTTGTTGTCAAATGGAATTATATACTAATTGTTTTCACTAAACAAATTTCATTTTTCTTATTTGAAAAAAGATTTTTAAGAAATTTTTGACAATTTGAATCGAGCATGCGAATTTATCATTTCAGTTCTATTGTTTGTTGTAAACTACGAAGAATCCGGTCGAAATATGGCTGTCTCTGCTTTTTTTCCTTAAATTCTGATTTTTTACTGTTCAGTAATTAAGAACATATATTACCATCTCGGCTGCAAATCAATGCAAACAGCAACAATGCAGTGATAAAATTTTTTAATTTCATCAATTCTATTTTGTTATTCTATTAGTTACATTTTATCATCTCTCTCCTTTATATAATGAGATTTTAACATTGCTTTTAGATTGTGAAGAAATCACATTTAAACCCTTCCTAAAAATCTTTGAATGTTTTCTAATGCTCAATAAAAAAAAATATTATTTAGAATTATGCACTATCAGTGGTAAAGATTTTCAGAAAAGCAAATCAACTTCTCGTAGTCGACAGGAACGTTTTTTACGCTACATCTTACGTCGTAAACAATGCTATGTTCTACTTTTGCTCGAGTTTCTTGTTTTTATCATTCTTATTTTGATATTATCGCTATTCTTCTGGCTTGCCCGAAATGAAATGGTTTGCTTTTTTTTACGCTTCAAATTTCAATTGATATATTTTTTTTTTTTGTAACCTGCAGCTTGCGTGTAGCACAATGAAGTAACAGTGCAGCAACATGTTTTTTCCTTCTCTTTTTCAAATTTATTTTCTATTTTAAAATATTAGAGTACCTATTTTATATGCTATGATTTTTGAGTGTTATATACGTTTGAAGAAACTATAGCATCGAATTTTGAGCCGTATTATTGTTGTTGTTTTTCCTATTAAGTATTAGTTGATATCATTGATAAATTTCTATGCCAAAATATTTTGCTCTTCAACTTATGGCTTAGAGCTTCGAACAGATTATTTTCATGATACTATAATACTTACATAATAAGTATAATCTACAGGTAAGTGGTAAACATACTCAAAAATTTAAAAAAGAAATTTAAAATTTAATTCAAGTAGAATTAAAAATGTTATCGCTTGTATGAAGATAAGTAAAATTTGCTTTTATCTTCTTGGAAATTGTGGATTTGAAATTTGAAAAAATATACTGATTTAAAAGTTGCATAACGAATAAAATGAAAAAATATTAGAAATTAAATGGAGAAAAAATACATATGTGTGAACACATATACATATATACGCAAATACTTGCACACGTACAGCTGAATATTGCACGCACATGAGCATTTATACACATGTAAAGTTTAAAATGTAAGTCACCAAATAAGAAAAATAAAACGCCTATCTCAATTTTCCTAACAAAACAAATTAACCGAGAAAAATCAGAAAATTGCCATGTATAAAATCAAAATTTAGAAATGTAAAAGCCGAAAAAAAACCAAACCTATTATTTCTATTAACTGATCCATTAGATAACTTTATTGATTTCGGAATGAAAGTAACTTATCATACGCCTCCTTCGGTAGTTATGCAGTATTTAATGAATATATGAAATTATTTTCAATGTGAAACTACGGGAAGGTAGTTGAAATGTTTGTCACATTGACTTCATTGATATCTAATCATACACACCAAGAGGATTTGATCATTTCGACAACTCCGATATCCCGGTACAAACCTGATGATCCATCCAATTATGATGCATTATTATTTTTAACCGAATATTATCTATTAAATCAATATATAATTTAATATATAATTCTTAGTACAGGTCATTAAAATGTTGTTTAAATGATTGCAGAAAGAAATGGAAGCAATAAAGACTGAAAATAATTGGAAAAAAAGTGAGCAACACAACTTAAACTTTTACAAATGTGAATATGAACCCATTTGGGAGAAGCCGGAACAAATGAACTATGTAATTTTTATATTAGTTTGCCGAATTAATTAAATGATTGAATTAAAAGAAAGAGTAGATACACATGAAGGGAACATTATATCAACACTATTTGTTCAATTTTATAACACATTCAAAATTTGAGAAAAAAGTAATGATTGATATTAATTTACTCTACTTCTATTCACAATAATTGCTTACAGTGTTGGGGATACTGTATTGTGTAGTGAAAGAATGCTATAGAATTGTAATGCAGTTTTGTAAATAGAAATCAATTTCTCATTAGTTTACCGTTAGCTAGAATTTATATATTTCGAAATGAAAATGAGCAAATATTTCAAGCATAAAAATATGCAAATTTATTATATTATTGTACGGTAATTCACTACAGGATTTATGTAATAGTCATTACGGTAAAGGTGCGAAAATGTGGACATTGCAAAAAACATTATCGAATTCAACAAGTTGTATTCATAAAATACATATGGTACGTTAAATAAGCTGGTTTTTTTCTCGTTAGATGAATGTGTGACTTCAGTTTTAGTTCCACATTTTTAATACTGTTATTTTTTTAATTGTTTAATTGTCGTTAATGAAAGCTTTGAAAGTAAAAGGAGTGCAAAAAATTTTACAAACCACTGATCTGATCATATATCGAAAATAGTTTGGACTTTAACTTTTGCTTGGTATCACAATTCATTTTCCTGTATTTCTCGTATTTTAACTTTGAAAATTTATAACAGATGTCTGACTGAGTTAGATTTAAATTTGAAGCGCTTTCAACTAATTATATGGAAATTATTTAGATACCGTGCCATGGCTTCTTAACAAAGGGTGAAGCTTCGAAAATATACAATAACGAGCGTATGCCACCGACAAGTTGTGGTGGATTATTTAGTGCTCCAATGCCTTATGAATATATTACATCCGAAACAGAAATCCGAGTAAGTTTATCATTTTTGGAAAAACAGTGCGTTATAATTCATTTGAAATGTTACCTGACACTTCTGTCTATTCAAGAAAGTGTCAAGATTATACAGATAGAACAAAATTCGAGAAGACAAATTTATATTGAGATATAAATTTACTATCTCTCACTGGAATTTTCTTCACTTTCTTCTCTTTGCTCATTACTTTCTTGTTATACATCCGCAGATCAACCAGAACATAATAAATTGGTCAAGAAACTGAAAATTTAAAGATTTATTGAAATTCGAGATTTAAAATTTATTGAAAAAGCACTTGAGAGGGAAAACTTTATTTTTAAGGCACCTCAAGCGACGAATGAGATGCTCGCGAGGGTTTATATGAATCAAAACGTTCTCTCAAGTGCTTTGCACATAAAATGTCCGCGATGTTCCGTAAGGAGCAGTTGGTATGCGTAAGTTTTTCATCACGTAATTTATTTATATTTGTCGCAAATATAAGCATATTCAGCATTTGTGAAATAGTTTATATATTTTCTGTTAGAGATTTTTACCCATTCTAATTTCATGAAGCGTAATTAAGTAATTTTAGCAAAGTATATCGACATTTTATCACCGAAGTTATTAAATTTTCATTCAACTGGGTTAATGCATAATGAAACATACTATTGAAATTCAAATCTTTTAATTCAGCGCAAATTGTACAGTATTGCAGATCGCCGATTGCGTTGCAGTGTCGTCGTCAACTAACTACTCTACGACATGGTTGGCCGTACATTGCTAAATATTGTGATTTGGAAGAAGAAACAGAAATGAATCTCGAGAAAAGGATTTACTGTTAATTATTATCCAAAAAAATTGCTTCGTTACACGCACAATTGAATTGTAATATTAAATAATCATATTGCTTGCTGAAATTCCCACAATTTCACTGAACTTTCAAAATTCTATGGCGAAACCATAGAAATTATCACTCAAATTTATAAAAATTTGAATTCATTGAACTTTTAAAATTGCAGGAAAAATCAATTTGCACCTAGATTGATCATCAGTTATAGCAGTTTGTTCAATTTCTTCATTTTACAGAATATATTTGTTTAATTTGTTTGTAATTAATTGATGCTTTCATGGGAAAATTGCATGAAATACTGTATAAGACGCCGGTAAATTTGTCCATCGCTAAAGCCTAATATGGAATTCAAAAGGAAATCTGGTGGAGCAAGCGCATCACATACTGAAATAGCATCAGGAAGAATCAGTGCTTCTGATTCACGAAGACGATTCTTCATAGTATTACCCCACTGACCACCGACACAATAACCACCTGAAAATTTTTTTGATATTATCATCCTATAGCTTCTGTCGAATAGTTTATTTTAGTTGATTAGATAAGCAAAGCATCGATTGATTTTAATTATAACTAACTGTTTACTACTAACCAATGTAAAGCATCGCAATGTGTTTATCAACAGAGTTGTAAGCGTATATAGCAGCAAGTCGGCGCAAAATTTCTCGTATAAATTCCGGAGCCGTTTGTAAAGATTCCCGAAAACAATTTAGTATGGTTAGTTCGCAGTAAGCATACGTAATCATTTTGTATTGTTCACTTTGTGCTTCTAATTGAGCCTGTCGTTTATCCAGTCCGCTGTTGACTTTACTTTTGATATCTTCTTTGACCTCTGAGATGAGGAAATGCAACAGCCAAACGTAGGCATTTGCAACATCTAAACAATAAATGAGTGATAAATGTTCATAGGATTTGTATAAATCACTTGGATACAAAAAAAAACTTTAGCTATGAATCTCAACTTATTATTTTTTATAAAATAGAAAATGATACTACCAATATTTTTTTTAAGCAAGTTATAATATTACTATTGTACTTGATTGAACTTGAAGAGATTTATGTGATTTGGAATTGCACTAATACCGGAATTATTATTTCTTAGCGAGAAATAATATAAAGAAACCTTCCAATGGATCATCCTTCCAAGTTGAAAATTTTTCTGGTTTGCTAGCCAAAAATGTCAAACTTTGAAGAGGTGAATCATTCCAGTTCTGTGAATTTTCTTCAGATAACGAAAGTAATGCATAGGTTACGTATTGCATTAATATATTGTTATCACCCTCAAAAGTTCGTGATGGATCAAAAGCATCCCGAAGATCATTCAGTCGTGAACTTTTCAAAAATCTGAAAAAATAAATATTAACTTTGTTTCGTTCAAAAAAATATCAAAAAAATGGGGTGTTCTTTAAAATTTCTGAATCAAGATTTTTTATGAAATGATACTTTTTCTTCGCATCAGAGCATTAGGTAGAGATTTTAAAGTTCCTTGATAGCTCTATAACGAAGTGCCAGGTTCTAAATTCCGTTACTTTTCAAGATCATATTAACCAGAAAAATGCATGACTGTTGATGAAGTCATCACATAGAGAGTTACCATATCCAGTGATTGAGCTATTTTTTTTTTGATCGAAATTTGTGAAAGGCAATGAAGTGTATTAACAAACCCGTGTGCACCGCAGGCAA